CCCTCTGATCACCCTTTGGGAGCAGGGGATTCGCCGCGCTTTTACTGTGGGCGCGAGTGCTTTTGCTGCGGGCGCGGGCTAGAAGACCCGCGGGCGCGGGTGTTTCCCAGGAAGCCCGCGGAGTTTTTAATGGGTTCCGTACCAATTTTTCGCGGGCGCGGGGTTTATTGGAGAGGGCGCGAGAATCCCATTTTTCTTCTTTGCCTATAAATACACTTGTAATTCCTTTTTGAAGATAACTTTTAGATAATCTTCATTAGCTTAGTTTTAGAGAGAGAAGTTAGAGAGAAGTTCTTGGTTTTGGATTTGTATTTCAACATTGGATCAACTGTGCTTGGATTTCTTCATTTTCAATCATTAATGTTAGTAAGATTTTCCTCTTCTAGTTCATCTCTTTACTTGATTGATTTAGTTTCATCTTTGATTGTTTGAATTTCTTGGATTTGAATTGGATATTGTAGTTGATATTGTTTTCTCTTGATTTTGATTTAGAATGATGATCAATTCTAATTCTAGTGATTTGTTCTTGAGTTACACCATGATTAATGAGTAGATTAGGTGCTAGGGAGAAGGGGAAGCATGCTTGATTGATAATTTGTGCTAGTTGATGATCTTTGATTGATTGAATTGTTGCAATTAAATTGGTTAACATAGTTTTGCATGTGATTAATTAGATTAGGAATGATCAACCTGTAAGATTAATCTAGATTGCATTGCATTTCTTAATGACATGACCCATCAATTTGAGAATTGCTTTAATTGATTGAGTTTGATTGTGAATTTCCTTGATTAGCCATTCATAGTGACCCCTAGTTTGGCCTCTAGGAGATAGCTCTTGAACTCTCTTGATTTCTACTATGTTTGTCCTTTGCAATGCTTGAATTAAACGAAGAAATTAGCACAATTATTGAACTAGCATGTGGAACCAATATCCCTAGCATTTAGCTTATTGAATTACTTGATTATTCTAATTTTTCTATCATAACACCAACCATTTTCTCACTTAATCTCCGAAATAGCTTGATTTAGGCTAAAGTTAACACCAACTAACTCCTTTGGGTTCGATCCTATACTTACCTATAATTTAGGTTGGTTTAGGATTTTATAAATAGTGTTTGATTTTGGGATAGGCAATTAACGACTAGTTTATTCCTCTATCAAAGTGGCGCCGTTGCCGGGGAGTGATATTGGTGCTTAGGTTTAGTTGTTGAGTCTATTTCATTTTAATTGAAAAATAAATACAAAAAGATTTTGTTTCTTAAGGCTACATTTGTAGCCGTGCTACTAATATTTTCATTGAGTTTTGCATGCATAGAGCTCGTGATCGATCCATTGTGCCTTTTGTCCCGGAAATTGAAAGGACTCTTTCAAGGAGAAGAATTGCTAGTTGATCCTTGGAATTTATTTCTTCAAGCGAAGAAGGATTTGAAGAAGAACTAGGCATGGGAGATCAACCAAGAGTTGCTTTGAAAGAATTGGGAATTCCTGGTGCGTACAAGTTTGAGAGTGGATTTGCTCCACCTACAACACCGGCGAATGATTTCGAAATTAGGCCGGCTATGATCGCTTTGATCGAAAGGAGACAATATAGCGTAGCTAAGAATGAGAGTCCGTTGAACCATCTCAAGGAGTTCGAAAAGTATTGCAACACTATCAAAGTGAACGGAGTTTCTCAAGAATTCATCCGGCTAAAGTTGTTTCCATTTTCTCTCATAGGCCGAGCCTTGGAGTGGTTGGATAAGGAGGTAAAGCCAAATTCCCTTCGAACATGGGACGAAGTCACCAAGGAATTCTTGTCCCGATTCTACCCACAAAAGAAAACGGCGGAGGCTAGAGCTTTGATTCAAGGGTTCAAGCAAAGACCTAATGAAAGCCTCTACGAAGCATGGGAGAGGTATAAAGAGTACCAAAGGGAATGTCCCCACTACGGAATTCCAACTTATCAAGTCATTCAAATTTTCTATGGTGACCTAAGTCCTCAAGGCAAATCATGCCTAAATGGGGGTGCTAGAGGTCCCATAATGAATCGGACGGAAGAGGAAGTGGTGGAAATTATAGAGGACGTGGTTAAGTATTATAGAGATTGGCAAGATGGTGAGAGGGATTCAACTAGCAAGAGTGGCTCTTCGATGTACTCTATAGACAATCTAAACGCGATCAACAACTTATCCTCACAAATGACAAACTTGGGGAAAGAAATGACCGCGATCAAGGCCAAGTTGGAAAGCTCCTCTTCTTCTCAAGCTTCGAATTCTCCCTCCCAATTTAAGGGGAGAGGTACCTTTTCTAACTCTCAACCCCCCCTCTTAAAATAATATGCCTAGTGGTTGCATGTTTTGTGATGCATGTGGATCTTCTGATCATGACTCTTGTCATTGCCCTCATGCTTCTCCGAAATGTTGTGATGATTTTGATAATAGTGAGAGTGAGCATGTGAATTATGTGTCAAATAATAATGTGCAAAGGTTTGATAATCAAAGAGGTCAATGGAATAGGAATTACCAAAACCAAGGTAATTTTGACAACTATAACCAAGGTGGTGGTTATAGGAACCAAGGGAACCAAAGTTCTCGTGGCAACTATAACAATCAAGGTTGTAGTAGTCAAAATCAAAACCAAAATTATGGTAATAAAAAACAAAGTTATGGAAATCATAACCAAGGTAGTGGAAACCATAATCAAGGTTATGGTTAAAATCAAAATAGGGGTAATTGGAACAATCAAGGTAGGGGCAATTTTCAAAATAATTCTCAAAGAGGTCCCCCACCCGGATTTGTTCCAAAGACTCAAGGTGAAAATTCCTATTCACAATATTCTTTTTTTTTTTTGACCCAACACAATATTCTTCTTCTAGGACCAATTTGGAGGAAATAATTTAAAATCAAACCAAGTTGTTGAACACATATATGGCCGTTAGTGACAAGAAGTTCAATGAAATGATGACCCACAACAAAATGCTCGAAAACAAAATTTCTCAACTTGCTAGTGCTTTGAAAGACCAAGCAAGCCCTTCTTCTTTACCTTCCCAAGGTCTAGATCCCAAGAAATCCGTTAATGCTATTGTTACAAGGAGTGGTAAGGTTCTTGAGGAGAGTTTGCCTAGGAGGAGTGAAAACAAGGAGGTCCCCAAGGAAGTTTTGGTTGAGAATGAGGGAAGTAGAGCATATTTAGATGAGGTTGTGGTTGAGATACCAAGAGAGGTGAGAGTAGAGAAAGAGATTGTGAAACCCAAGCTCCCTTATCCCCAAAAATTCATGAGACACAAATTGGATGAGAAATTTGGGAGATTTATTGATATGCTCAAACAACTTCACCTTTCTCTACCTTTCACCGATGTGATCAACCAAATGCCTAATTATGCCAAATTCCTCAAAGAAATTTTGAGCGGAAAAAGGACTTGTGATGTTGTGGAGACAATCAATTTGACTGAAAATTGTAGTGCGATCATCATGAATAAAATGCCACCCAAGTTGAAAGACCCCGAAAACTTCTCCATTCCCTGTGCTATTAACAAGATGCAATTTGATAATGCCTTATGTGACTTAGGAGCTAGTGTAAGCTGAATTCCATATTCGGTCTATCAAAGACTTGATCTAGGGGAACTCTTACCTTCTAAAATTACCTTGAAACTAGCCGATAGGTCAATCAAGTTTCCAAAAGGTAAAGTGGAAGATGTTTCATTGAGGGTTGAGAAGTTTGCGTTCCCGGTGGATTTTGTTGTTTTAGAAATGGATCAAGATGCTACCATTCCAATTATTTTAGGTAGACCCTTTCTTGATACCTCGGGTGCTATGATAGATGTAAAGTGTGCAAAGATTTTCCTTAAGGTAGGAGATGAGGTCATAGAATTCGATTTGAATGAAAACATGAAATATCCAAGTTCTTCTCTTGAAAATTTCATGATGATTGACTCTCTTGATCATGTTGTGTCTTCCATTCATGAGCACTTGATCACCTCTAACGATGCTCTTGAGAATGTTTTGTTGAACAAAGACAAGCTAGGTGTACCATGCAAGGAGGTAGCATTGTATGAGGAATTGCTTAATGGAAGCATGGAGGAAGTGGATGAAAAATTGTGCTTGAAGATCTCAAGTCATGAAGCTTTGCAAGCGGCCGCAACAAAAGAAGGTAAAGGTGTGCCTATGGTAGAGCTTAAACCTCTACCATCACACCTTAGGTATGAATTCTTAGGCCTAAATTCCACTTACCCCGTAATTGTTAGTGCATACTTGAGCGAGAGCCAAGCTCAAGCGTTATGTTGTGTCTTGAGAAAGCACTAAGGTGCTTTGGGCTATACTATCGATGATCTTAAAGGTATAAGCCCCGCTTTGTGTACACACAACATAACTCTTGAGGAAGGAACCCTTCCTTCTATTGAACGACAAAGAAAGCTACACCCTCAAATGGGAGAGGTGGTGAAAAAAGAGATCACCAAGCTCTTGGATGCGGGAATCATTTTCCCCATCTTAAGCTCTAGGTGGGTTTCTCCTGTTTATGTTGTTCCTAAGAAGGGGGGTATGACCATAGTCAAGAATGAGAGTGGTGAGCTCATTCCAACTAGAACGCTCACCGGTTGGAGGATGTGTATAGACTATAGACATGTAAATACATCCACCAAAAAGGATCACTTTCCCCTTCCATTCATTGATCAAATATTAGAGAGACTAACAAGGCACAAGTTCTATTGCTTCCTTGATGGCTATTCGGGATTTTTCCAAATTCCAATCCACCCCAAAGATCAAGAGAAGATAACATTTACATGCCCCTATGGGACCTTTGCTTATAGGAGAATGCCCTTTGGCCTTTGCAATGCCCCCGCAACTTTCCAAAGGTGCATGATGAGCATTTTTGGAGACATGTTGGAGGAAGAAATGGAGGTATTTATGGATGATTTCTCCGTAGGTGGGGTTTCATTTGAAGAGTGCCTAGTTAATCTTGAGAAATGTTTGGCTCGGTGTGTAAAGGTTAATCTTGTCTAGAATTGGGAGAAATGACATTTCATGGTGGAGGAAGGGATAGTGCTTGGGCATAAGATATCTCATAAAGGAATAGAGGTGGATAAGGCCAAAATTGAGGTTATTGAGAAGCTTCCACCTCCGGTGAATGTTAAGGGAGTGAGATCATTTTTGGGTCATGCGGGCTTCTATAGAAGATTCATCAAGGATTTATCACTTATTGCCAAGCCCCTTAATGATCTTCTTCAAAAAGATGTTGAGTTCGTTTTTGAGGATAAATGCTTGGAAGCATTTAATAGATTGAAGAAGGCCCTAATCTCTACCCCCATTGTTCAAGCCCCAAGATGGGATTTACCCTTTGAATTGATGTGTGATGCTAGTGATTGGAAATTGGAGGTGTTTTGGGACAACGTGTGGACAAGAAGCTTTATGTGATTTACTATATGTCCAAGACACTAAATGGGGCCCAAAAGAATTACACAACAACGGAAAAAGAATTCTTGGCCATTGTTCACTCTTTCGAGAAATTCTGGTGTTATTTGTTGGGTTCCAAGACCATTGTCTTCACGGATCATGCGGCTCTCAAGTATCTCTTTGCCAAGAAAGAGTCCAAGCCAAGGTTGATTCGTTGGGTGCTTGAATTACAAACTTTTGACATAGAGATTAGGGATAAGAAGGGTGCGGAAAATGTTATGGCGGACCATCTTTCTCGCCTTGAGGGTGATCAAATTCATGATGATGGTCTACCAATTGAAGATAGAATGCTTGATGATGTCTTGTATGCCATTAAGATTAAGGATCTCCCATGGTATGCCGACTTGGTGAACTTTCTAGCATGTGGGGAGTTTCCACCTTCTTTCTCCAAGAACCAAAAGAAGAAGCTCAAGAGGGAGGCAAGACATTACTTGTGGGATAAACCAATCTTGTATAAACGAGGGGTGGATGGCTTGCTTTGGCGTTGTATCCCCGAATGAAGAGGTGCCAAGTGTTTTAAAGATGTGCCATTCGGATGCAAGTGGCGGTCATATGGGCGTTTCCAAAACCGCCACTAAGGTTCTTTAATGTGGTTTGTGGTGGCCGTATCTCTTCAAAGATTCATGGGGCTTTGTAAAGTCATGCGACCGATGTCAAAGGGTTGGGAATATCTCCAAGAGGAATGAGATGCCTCAACTTCCTATTCTTGAGTTAGAGGTTTTCGATGTTTGGGGGATTGACTTCATGGGACCATTCCCATCTTCATATGGAAATCAATTCATACTTGTGGCTGTGGACTATGTTTCTAAATGGGTTGAGGCCATTGCCTCCCCTACTAATGACCACAAAGTAGTGTTGAAGTTGTTCAACAAAATCATCTTCCCAAGGTTTGGCGTCCCTAAGGTTGTGATAAGCGATAACGGATCTCATTTTGTTCACAACACCTTCCAAAAGATGTTGAAGAAATATGGAGTGCATCAACGGTTTGGCCTTCCATATCATCCTCAATCGAGTGGCCAATTCGAGGTCTCCAATCGTCAAATAAAACTCATTCTTTAGAAGACGGTTGCAAGGAATAGAAAGGATTGGTCGAACAAGTTAGATGATTCTCTTTGGGCTTATAGGACGGCTTTCAAGACGCCTATTGGTACCACTCCGTATCGCCTTGTCTATGTACTTTATGGGCAATAAAAAAGATAAACTTTGATTTAGAAAATGCGGGGAAGAAAAGGTGGTTGGATCTTCATGAGCTAGAGGAGCTTAGACTTGATGCTTATGACTGTGCTAGCACCTACAAAGCTCGTTCCAAAGAACCTCATGATAAGCTTATTGAGAAAAAGGAGTTTTGTGTGGGTGATAAAGTCCTCCTCTACCACTCAAGAATGAAGTTTTTTCCCGGAAAGCTCATGTCAAAATGGAGTGGTCCTTTCTTGGTGAAAGATGTTTTTGCTAATGGCACCGTGGAGATTTCTCCTTTGGATTCCTCATCTTCTTTCAAGGTTAACGGTCATCGGCTTAAGAAATATTTTGATGGAGTGTTTGTTGATCTTATTCATAAAATGATTCTTTTCAAACCACCTTGAGTGGGGTGGTAAACGTCGAGCTAACGACGTTAAACAAAAGCGCTTACGGGAGGCAACCCAGATTCTCACCTTTACTCTCTTTTTCTTCCTTTATTTTATTTTTGGTTTTTTTGTTGATTTTTGCTCTTACCCTTCCTTGTGTTTTTGGTTTGTTTTGTAGGGTGCCTTCATTCATCATATATGGACTTAATGTGTTTGATGAGAGTGATAAGAGGTTTTAAAGTGCAGGGGAGAGGGCACCCTGCGGGCTTGGAGAGGCCTCGGGTGCCCTTGCTTTCAAAAAGTGGAAATCAGATCAGTAGCTCTCCGCGGTCTCTCCGCGGGCTCTCCGCGGGCGCGGGTGCCTTAAAGAGGGCGCGACTCATTTTCTCAAATTTGGATCAGAAACTCTCCGCGGTTGCCCCGCGGTCTCTTCGCGGGCGCGACAATATTGGAGTGGGTGCGGAAAATTAGAGAGGGCGCGACCCCTGGTCAGGTATGAAATTTTCAAATTTTCCAGAAACTTTCCGCGGTTGCCCCGCGGTCTCTCCGCGGGCGCGGCAATATTGGAGCGGGCGCGGCTTTGTCGAGAGAGGGTGCGGGCATCTGGGTTTTTGTATACCCGGTTCCTCTTTCTTTCTCTATCCTCTCTTATTTTCCCTTTCACTCTTAATTTTCCCCATTCTCTCTCTTCCTCCTCTCGAACCCTAACCCCCAAATCATCTCTTTCACTCAATTTTACTCGAATTCACCCTTGTTTTCTTTTAAATTTCCATCCCAACTTCCTTCATACTCCATTTTCATCAAGTTTGCTCTTCTTTCTCGTGGTTTTCTTCGGGAATTTCGAGTCTATTCGGTTTTGTGCTTGCTTTGAGTCTTCAATCTTGGTATACTTCTCACCTTTTTTTTATTTTTGTCAATTTCAATTGATTTTTATGCATTGGTTGTGAGTGGCCTTGATTAAGCTTGAGTATGTTGTTTTTGGTTGTTCGTATGGTGGTTTTGGAATTATTTTGGGTGTTTTTTGTGCTTCTTTTTATGATAGATTGTTAATATTGTTGGTTGCTGTTGGATTTTTGGTTGTTTGTTACTTGTAACAGGTACTTTGTAGTTTGTGGTGGTTTTGGGTGGTCTTGTGAACGGAGGTTTGTTCACTTTGGTGGTAGTGTTGAATTTGGGTGTTTTTTGTGATTCATTGTGTTGGTTGAGCTTAAAACTATGGATTTGTTGAGGAGAGTTAAGAGTAGCAAGAAAAGTTTAAACCAATCCCTCGGCCAATCCTCTCGTAGCCAACCTTCAAACACCGAACCTCCTCAAAACCAAACTACTCAAGGTAATGCCCCACCTCCTCCTTTACCCGCTCTCAAATTTCATAATCGGGCTAAACACGCCCTTATCTATAATAAAATGAAATCCCAGAAATTTAGACCGACCCGCAACTATTTTCCCGAGGATAGGGAAAAATTGGGTGTTGATGCCAATCTTAAAATTTTTGCTCCGTAATCTTGGTTTGGATGAGTTTGTAAAGTCATCCCCCCGAACTTATTTGGAACCATGCATTGAATTTTTCTCCACCTTTGAGTTTAATATGACGGGGGATACCGACTATATCATTTCTTTTCAACTTTTCAATTCCAAGCATACCATGAACCTTGCGGAGTTCAACAAAGCCCTTGGCTTCAACCCAAATACCGACATCTTTGAGCCCTTGGTTTCCCTTCACAAGACTGATTACAATGAGGTTGCTTGGTGGAGAGCCATATCTAGGAAGAAGGCGTTTGACTCTAAGGAATCGCTTGCTAGTGAGATCATTCACCTGGCTCTTCGTATTCTCCATTGGATTCTTGGGTATACAGTGTTTCGTAAGCAAGATCTTGGGAAGCTTTTGAGGGAGGAGATATTGGTGCTTTGGATGGCTACAAGGCCGGATTTGGGGCCAAGGTTGAATTTTGGGTATCTTTTCATGAATTGTTGTAAATTGACATCAATGGGAAGAAGACGGGTGAGATTGATTGTGGTGGTATGATTACTAAATTGGTGTATTATTTCAAGCAAGAGCGTTTCTTGAGGTCTTGCACTCCGATTAAAAAGAGTGAAGACATGTATTTGGATATGAAGCAACTTAACACCTCGCGCTTCATTTCTAAGACTAAGGGAAACGGTGGGTACTCTTGGCTAGTGGGTAATGTGCACCATTGTTTGCTCCTAAACCCGGTTGCGACCTTAATCACTCGAGAGGCTAGGATTGTTTGGAGGATTGCCGAGGATAATGGGAGGGTTGAGAATGTTATGGAGGAGGATGTTGGTGATGAGGACGAGGATGATGATGATGAGCATGATGGTGAAGGTGGAGAAGGAGAAGGTGGTGAAGAAGACGAAGAAGAAGAAGAGAAACAACAACAACAATGGTAATTTCAGCATGAACAACAACAACAACCGCAACAAAGAAGAAGAAGAAGACAACAACATCAACAACAAGACAACCGAGGAGACGCATATCTTCGCGAGATCGAGGCTATGCGTGAACATATGGAGCGCATGCAATTGAGCATGCAAGGTATGTATTCAAACCATCAAACTTTGTCTTTTCAAACTAGCGCCCTATATGACGCTAGTGTGCGTAGGGGGGAGGTCACTCCTCTGGTGAACTACCCATATGTGCCGCCCCAACAAGGGCCGGTGCCATCTTGGGGTGGTGACAACCTCCCCACGTACCCATATTGGCCCGGGGTTACAAACCCCGATGAGCCAAGGCGTGACTTCCTAGATGAGTCCGGTCATTATGACTACCGGGTCTCGGGGGGGAGTGATTATCGGGGTGACCCCGACTACTACTATGTTCACCCCACTCACCCCGAGCTCTGTATGCAACCGGAGCCTTATGACCAATTGTCCACATCTCAACTTGACCTTTTTAAGGATCGATATGGGTTCCCTCCCAGTTATACCGGAGGTTGGGATGTGGATGATGGTGGTGCCGGCCCTACTGGCCAATAGTTTCCCCTTTGGTTGCTTGATTCCCTTTTTGTTTCCTCCCTTTTAGATTTGCATGTTTTTAAGCATCGTGGTCGATGCCCTTATTTTGTGCGGGGGGAATCAATTAGGATGTTTTAGGGTAGGTTTTTGGGGAGGCACCTTGGACTCTTGGGGATGTGTTTGAAAGGGCTTTGATGGATTTCTCTTGCTTCGCTCTTGGTAGTCTCGTTGGTATGTTGTTTATCTTGCTGTCTTGGTTTTTGATGATGATGTTTTGTGGTCTCTTTTACTTTGATGATGTTAATGGTTTCTCTAGATCTTTGTACATAGTTTTCGCGTAAGTTTTCTTTTGTTAGCTTTTGTTTGGAAGTTACTAACAATTTCACTTTGTATATAGTCCTTTTCTTTTCTTTTTCTCACCTTGCTCATAGCTATTGCTTTGGTCTTCAAAGCTTCTTAGTGGAGGTCGTTCTTGCTCCTTTATTATTGCAGCATAGCTTGGATGCTTGGTGATGCCTTTCTTGTTTTATCTCTTTACTTTTCTTCCTTTACTTTTCTTGGTTGCTTAGATTAGGATTATTTTCAGGAGAGTTGAACGGTTCGAGGATGTATGATTATAACACCTAGTGTGTTTGGGGTCTTTGGCGATGTGGCCATTTGACTGCTTGTTTGTCGATTGGGACATACGTGTTATGATTGCATCTTTGTCCTTTTCTTTGTTCTCCTACTTTTCCTTTATCTTGGTTTTCCATATTTTATTTTCTTTTCTCTTCTTTTTGTTCTTGGTTTTGTACATAGCTTTTTGAGGCTTTATTTTTTCACTCTTTCGTTTTTTTTTTTTTTTTAATTGGACTTGTAAACAATGGACTCTTGCTTTTGGATAATAACATTACTAGGTGGTTATGGTATGCACAGTTTGAGAATACGTTTGGTTGATTCTAGGATAAAGCATGCTAAGGTAGTTGTCTAGAACTAGGGGGATCATGAAGCCGGATTATACTTGTTTGTGGCATGTCGGTAGTTGCTCCCTATCTTCGATTTGACAACCTTAGTGAGTTTTTGCTACAACCATGTGAGATTCATACTTTTTTCAAGCTTTCATCATATTCTTGCATGAGCGGCATGGATCCTTGACTTTCGCAAACCTAATCTTGAATCTTAACTTATGATTCCTAAGACCGAGACCGAACCACCTAGGGAGGACAAATGCATCTTTTCGGGGAGGTATTTTTCCTTTTTCTAGGATAGTATCCTTATTTTTACTTTTGGGTTTAGGGATACATTTGCCTACTTGCTAGCCCTTTGAACCTTTTTCCCTTCTTTTCAAGCCACATATTTAGAAATCTTGAGCCTTTTGTTTCATTTTCTATTTTCTTGGTTTTTGTGAAGCAATGGTCAATGTTGGAAGATTGTGGTGAATAAGTTTGGATTTTGGTTCGAATTGGTGAACAAGGTTGAGTTGTTTATATTTGGAAAATAATGGAAAATGACTAATTAAAAGTCGTCCCAAATAAAAAGGCAAGGAAAAAATAAATGCAAATTTGGAAAAAAGCCGTCCGATTTCAAAAGAGGCAAGGACTAATGCTTTGAAAAAGTAAGAGAAAATTCAATTAAAAAAAAATCGACAATGAGAAGATGCAAAAAAAATAAGGAGAAAAGAAAAACCATAAACATTCAATTGTCTTTCTCCCTTTCATGCATTGAGGACAATGCTTCTTTTATCTTGGGGGAAAGCGTTTGCGCTTTTTGTTCTTATGTTTGTAGATTGTTGCTTTGAATAAGCTTGGGGGTGTTAATTTGTTTTTGTTTGGTGATTAATCAATTTTGGTGTTAAGATTTGGCCAATCTTTGCTTCACAATTTAGGTTAACCACCAAATTTTAAATTTAGCCTACCTTAACTCTTCTTGCCTTATGTTACAACCTTTGGAAAGACCTTTTGACCTAGGGGTTGAGTCATTCATCGAGGGAGGGAATCATGGGTTATAGCCTAAGGAAAGGGGATGCGAAGTCAAGATATCAAGTAAGCCAAAAAATTGATCTTTTTCCGGTTCCTTCGTGGAATCTATGAGACGCTCACTAAGGGGAGATATGAGATTAGTAGGGGGAACGCGGAAAGATCGTTTGGGATGAAAGTGGAGTGTGACAACTAGTTCCTATGCTTAGCATATTTATGTTTCAATCAACCTTAGGTATCTTATAACGTGCATACCATTACTTACTTTAGAAAGGTTGTTATTCATTTGAACTATAGTCACTTTGTAAAGTCCATTTCACAAAGATTTTTATAGAAATCATTGTTGTTTTTCATTATTTTCTCTTTATTCTTGTATTTTGCCTCATTTTACCTTCTTTCGTTTGTTTAATAAGAGTTATAGGTTATCTCTAGGAAACCTTTACGAGAGCATCACTCGTCCTCTGGAGCGATCTAGGGGTTTAAATGGCTTGTCTTTTGTTGCTAAAATTGACCGTGATTCCTACGAAAGTGAGTTAGTGTATATTCTCACCTCTTTCTTTTTCTTTTCTTATTTTGAATAAGCCCTTCTTTTTCCTTTGTAGCCTTTGTTTTGCTCGGGACGAGCAAAAGTCTAGCTTGGGGGAATTTGATGAGTGTCATTTATGGCACTCACAGGGTAGTCTTTTTGGATGATTTTATCTTCCTTTTTATGCTTTCTTATCTTATTTTTGGTCCTTTTTCCATTAATTCCTTTCTTTCTTTCTTTCGTTGTGTTTTTCGTGTTTTCTTCGTGTTTTCCTTTTATTTGGTTCTTTTTCCCTTTTATTCCTTTTCGTTGTTTGTTCTTGTAGGTACCTAGGATTTGTCTTTGCAAGGGGATCAAGATGGGCCATATTGACTAAGCAAGGAGGACGTAATCGGCTTGGAGAGGCCTCAGAGAGGGCTTGGAGAGGGCATCATGCCCTGCCAGTCTGCCGCGGGCGCGGGTATTAAAGGCCGCGGGCGCGGGCTCATATGCACCAAATTAGCAGATTTCGACCAGGAACTCTCCGCGGTCTGGCCATGGGCTCCTCGCGGGCGCGGGTAGTTTGGAGAGCCTGCTCCGTACGAGAGAGACCGCGACCCTCTGATCACACTTTAGGAGCAGGGGATTCACTGCGCTTTTGCCGCGGGCGCGGGTGATTTTGCCGCGGAAGTGGGCTAGAAGACCCGCGGGCGCGGGTGTTGCCCAAAAAGCCCGCGGAGTTTTTAATGGGTTTC